TCCCCCAACCCAGTGGTCCCAGGCCCCCTGACCCAGGCCATGGATGGGGCGGCAGGAGGACCCGGGAGCCCACCCCGCAGACCCGGGGCCAGTGGCGGGTGGCGAGGCCGTGCACGGTGCCGCCCAGGAGCTCTGCGGCTGGCCCGAGGCATGTGGGTCTTGGATGGTGCAGGGGAAGCCTGGGTGCGGGGCGGGGGGGCTGAGTATGAAGGGCTCGTCCACGGTGATGGCCAGAGGCAGCGCACCCAACTGCGGGATGGCCACGGGGAGCTGGGGGGCAGGGGGTCCTCACAGATACCGGGTTGCTCCCCTCCAGGCCCCAGACTGTCTGTTGGTCAGGCCCGGGGGTGCCATGGTGCCCGAGACCCCAGGCCTGGGCCTGCCTGTGGAGGGGGATCCCTGGAGGGGCCTGTCGTGAGGAACCAGGGTCAGGGCGGCAAGGAGGGCGGGTCAGGCTCTGCAGCTTGAGTGGCCCTCAGCCCGGGCACGGGTCGCAGGCCCGCTGTGCGACAGCAACACACTGGTCCTGGGCTGCAGGCCCCAGGGGCTTCCTGGAGTAAGGTCCAGGTCCTCTCTCCACAGGGCTGCACTTCAGGGGAGACTGAGGACCCGACCACACACGCCTGCCCTCTCCTCTGCCCCGGCTGAGCCTCCCGGGTGCCTGGTGCATGGACGGCCCGGGGTCAGCCAGGTCTCCTGGGGCAGGGGACAGGGGAGGCCGAGGCAAGAGGCCCAGGTGGGGGGGCCTTGGCGACCATGGTCTCCACCCTCTGCCTGCAGCTCCCGCCTGGGCTTTCCCCGAAGCAGCGCAGCCGCCGCTCCCCAGCGGCTGGGGGGGCCTGAGAGCTGAAGCGGAGCCCGCCCCCGAAGCCGCGGGGTCCCCAGGGTCAGGGGACCTGCTACGGCCCAGAGAGCCCCTGAAAGGTGGGGCTCCACGGGGGCCGGTGCCGGCTGACCCTGCATCTGCGTTGGGAGGATTCAGAGCCGCATCAGGGTCCAGATGGACGTGTGCAGGGGGCTGAGCATCCAGGAGGCCACCCCGCCCCCTGTCGGTGCCTACAGAGGCCCTGGAGGTCCCCCGACTGACCCCACACAGGCAGGGCCCTGGCCTTACCTGCCACCTCCCCTGGGCACAGGGGCACAGCCCTGCCAGCGGTGGGGCTCAGGGTACAGTAGGGGCCCCCCCATCACAGACACCGGCCCCTCCCGCCCCCACCAGCCTCTGGCACAGATAGCAGCCTCCAGCCCCCTGCTCCCCCTGGGGCCACCTGTGGGGCCTGATCTGGCCTAGGGCCCCCTGACGGCCAGGCGTGCGGTGCTGTCTACCCCCTTACCCCCTGGCCCCCCCTTGACCCTCAGCGCCTACGCCCACAGGAGCAGTGGGGAGCAGTGGGCGCCCCTGCCCTGCATGCGGCCCCCCCATTGACATCTCAATCCTCAAAGGTGTCTGTGGAGAGGCGGCCCCCCTGCTCCCACGAGGACACCCTGCACGGAGGGGGCAGGGACGGGGCAGGAGAGCCCTGACACAGGCCCGGGGGGCATAGCACCTGCCTCTGGCTCCTGACAGCAGCGTAAAGGGGAAGCAAGGTGTCCTGGGGAGGGGGCTGCGGTGGAGGGGGGCCCAGGCCCCTCGATCCTGCCCACCCACCCCCAGCGGCCCCTGGGCCCAGCCTCTGGGGGGGCAGGACGGAGGAGCTGGGTCCCTGGGTCCCCGAGCAGCGTGCCCCCTGGAAGCCCAGCTGCAGGAATACTGGCCTAGGGGCCAGGCAGTGTCCACACTTAGCCAGACCCGCCCACCCACATCCCAGCCCACCCCCCCCCCACCGTCTCTCCCAACCCCTCCAGCAGCGCCCCCACCCCCGCGGGCCAGGCTGCCAGGCCCCGGAACACACACCGTGGGGTGCAGTGTCTAGACTGTGTGACCCCAAGCCTTGACGGGTGGCTTCCACTTGCCCCCCTGCAGGCGAGAAGGGCGAAACGGGGGTCTGAGGACCCCAGGGCAGGAGCAGGAATGAGGGCCCGCCGGGCTCCGGGTGCGGGCACGTCTACACACAGTGCCCACGGCCTCCAGGCCGCACCCTTTGGCACGGAGCTGAACGGCTCGGGGCCCTCCACCTGGCCTCTGGCCACTTCCCGTGTGCAGTGCCTGGTGTCTAGGCCCTGAGCCTCAGCCTGCACACCTGGAGTTACCAGCCCAGCGAGCACAGCGTCGTGCAGTCCCAAGGCCTGTGGCTGCCCTTAGCCGCCGGTGACGCCGTCTGGGCGCACGTTGCAGCGTGACCGGGATACCACCGTCTACGCGAGCATGGCGACCTCTCCATTGCCTGCAGAGGCCAGCTGGTCTAGGGACTCAGGCAGGGTCCCCCACAAAGCCCAGCCTTCGATGGCGCTCCTGCCCCCGACCCTGGCCGGCACGGCCTCACCTTGCAAGCTGACGAGCCACACCAGCAGCGTTTGAGCACCGACTGTGTGCAGCAAACGACCACATCGGGTGCTGAGTGGAGCGCCAAGGACAGGGCTAGGGCAAGACAGACCCGGGCCTCCCCTGGAGGGGACGGACACACACCAGACATCCACACTGAGAAGTTCGGGGGGAGGCCTGTGGCATCGGCACGCAGAGGGCGGGTGGGGCGGGGGTGGCCCTCGAGGTGGAGTGACCCTTGTGGTATAAACAGCTGGGCCGGGTGCAGCACCAAGGGGACATTTGCGAAGCACCTGCTGGCCAGACGCTGGGGGTCAGGGCCGGGTGCATGTGCTGCCCAGGCACAGGCAATTCCGGCCCGAGGCATGCTGGACCCCAAGGGGGCAGGAGAGCGGCCACAGCCCCAAGACAGCGTGGCGTCGGGCGCAGGGAGATAGTCTTGTCCTTGCGGTGAACACAGGCTGTGGAGCCTCCCAGCGTCCCCTTGTCTATCTGGCTGGCAGGGGAGACAGCACCTCGATGGGCCCCTGTGCCTGGGGAGCTCACATGTCCCAGGGTCACCACATACTTAGATGTGGCTGAAGTTGGGGCTGGCGAGGAGGGACAGCTGCACAGGTCGGGGTGCACAGGGCCAGGGTGGCTCCCCCACGGGGCTCCCTCCACCTCATACCTGGAGCCACCAGGCTGCCCCCCTCCCCCGGGGCCACTCCAGGGCTGCTCCTTCTTCTGTGCAGCTCCTTGTTGGTCCCCATCACGGCTGCCCCCTCCCCGGGCCTCCCCGCGTCTCCCCTGCAGCGGCTCCCTCCTGAGCGATGGGGCCGTAAGGCCCAGGCCGTGTTCAGAGCCGTATGTGGCATCAGCAGGGCCCGGGAGCTGGCTGAGGCCCAGCCTGTGTGAGGAGGCTGGAGCTGCAGGCGGGCAGGAGAGGTGGGGCCCTGGCCAGGGCGCGGCAGGTGCACAGGTAGGGGCTATGAGGCCAGGTGCAGGGTGTGAGGCCAGGTGCAGGGTGTGAGGCCAAGTGGGGGGTTCCCTCAGTCCTCATTCACCCTGGGACCCCAACAGAGCACCCAGTGTGGCAGGAGATAAAATCCCCATCCCCACCAGGTCCTCACAAAACCCCGAGAAGGTGGTGCTGTGGCTGCGGAAGGAGGGGTGAGGAATCAGCAGGGACCGTTGTCCCAGACACACAGACAGGGGCTGTCCCTGGATTGAGGGCCATGCCTTTGACAGGTGGAGAAACTGAGGCCCAGCAAGGGGGATAGAAGCCCCAGGTGTGCAAGGCGCAGGGAGCTGGCTGCCCCCAGCAGGTAGGGCCCACACAGAGGAAGGGAGCCTCCCTGGGAGGGGTGCTGGGACCCCCTTCGGTGTCCACACGGGGCCTGTCCGGAGGCAGAGAGGCTCCCTGCCAGCAGCCTGCCCTGTGGCCACGTCCTGAAGCCTCTAGAGCAGCAGGGGACCCCGTGGTGTCCCACAGTCCACATGCAGGTCCTACCGCCCATCACGGCCAGTGGGCTGCCCCGTGAGGAAGCTGAGACCCACGGGTGAGGGCGAGGACTCCTGTCACTGCAAAGGCCAGCCCGGGCCCAGGCCAGGTCTCGGGTTCACACCACGCAGGGCCCTGACCTGGAGGTCCGTAGACCAGGAGGCCGGCACTGGCAGGGACCTGTACACTGAGACACATCGGGGAGTCAGGGGGGGGTCCGGCCCCCCCAGGCCCTGCCGGCATACCCGCAAGGTGGCAGCAAGACTCGGGGGGGCTCGTGACAGCCTCGGACACGGGGAGGGGGCCAGATGGGAGTCCCAGGCTGCTGAAGCCGTGGCCCCTCTCAGGCCGGGAGGGGGCTGGGAGGGCTGTGGGAAGCCAGAGGCCCTATGCCCTGTGGCCCCGACGCCAACCTGGGGACCCTCGGGCTGCGTCCGTGCCGGGTGACGGCGGCAACAGCTGGACACGCCCAGAGTGGCGGGAACGGGCGGGCGCAGCTGGGGCGGCCTCGGAGCGCAGGGGGTAGGGGTGGGGGGCGCCGGGAGCCCAGGGCCACGGAGCCTGTGCGGGGAGGCCTGGGCGGGGCGGCAGGGCCTCGGGGGGGTGGGGGCATGCCTAAGGGCCCTCGGGGACAGCAGCCGGAGGGCGCTGCCGGTGGATCCAGGCAAGAGGGCAGGGCCGGCACCCCTGCCTAACACACCCTCCAGGTCCACTTATTAAAAAAAAAACAAAACAAAACACAGAACAACCCAGAGCCATGGAACAGTCACCGTGTCCACAGTGAGAGGTGCAGCCGAGGGCTGGGCAGAGCCACAGGGCACCCCGGTGGGGGGACACTCGGGAAGTCGACAGGACATGAGCCCACGGGAACAGCAAGTGTGAGGCACCGGCCGTAGCGTGTGCACGCAGTGTGCCCGGGAGTGTGCGCAACGTGAGGTAAATCTGTTGGTTTCGTGGATTCCCATAAAAATACCCCTTTAAACAATTTAGGTAAAATGCATATAACATGAAATTCATCATTTTAAAGTGAATAACTCAGTGGCATTTTCATTTTGCACATTCACAGTGCAGGGCAACCGCCCCCTCTACCTCGTTCCAGAACCTTCTCGTCCCCCCCAGAGAGACCCCGACCCTTCCCTGGCCCCAGTGACCCCAGGTCTGCCCTCTGAGCCTGGGTCTGCCTCTGCTGGGCATTTCATAGAAACAGAATCACACGGTGCCGTGTGGCTCCTGTCTCCGAGCGGCACATGCCCCGGGCAGGTCCACGCGGTGGGGCATGTCTGGGCGTCACTCCTGTCATGTGGCAGGTCCTCAGCGTGTCCGTGCAAGGGTCTTTGGGCTGTCATGGATAGTGCTGCTGTTTGTGCGCCAAAACCACTGTTTCAGTTTGTAGAAGAGAAGTGTGAATGGACAGGGTTCTAGAGCATTCTGACCCCGCCTGTGAGACATCACAGCAGAGCCTACAGACACGGTGGTGAGCCCGGGGCACCCAGGTGGGGGGAGGGGGGACATGACACCCACGTGCCAGCGAGACAGGAGGCTGCGACGCCTCCACGGTCCATGCACCCTGAGCTACGCACACTTCAGGGGGAAGAGAGTCGCAGCAGCACGGCCATCAAACATCCGTGGGATGCGCCCCGACGTGGTGGCCAAGACGGGGAAGCCGCTCAGGTCATCCGTCCATGACGGAGCAATGAACAAAACGTGGTCCATCCACATGATGCAGGGTCATCGAGACCCTCCAGCGCGGGCTCCTGCAGGTGGAGCGTGAGAGAGGATGTCGTGTTCAGGGAGATGAGACATCGCAGGAAGACAACTGCGGCAGGTCCCCTTCTCCAAGCCCCCGGAGCTGTCAGGTCCCTGGAGACAGGAGGGCCGCGGAGGGGCCCGGGGACGGGGTGGAGGGCAGAGCTCCAGGTCGGGACGGTGGGGGAGCCCTGTGGACCATGGTGGTCCCGCTCCCACCCCAGTGGGATGGCACTGATGCCCCTGAGCCGCGCACCCACACACAGAAAGGGGCAGACGTCCCCCCACATGCCTTTCAGCACATTAAAATACATCGGAATGCCCAGGGGTGCTCCATGGGCTCAGGGCGTGATCCCGGGGTTCCGGGATCCAGTCCCACATCAGGCTCCTTGCGTGGAGCCTGCCTCTCTCTCTCTCCCTCATGAATAAATAAATAAAATCTTTAAAAGCCTACGTGAAAATATTTAGTGAACCTGTGGCTGGGGACCCCGGGTGGAAGCACGTCCCAAGCAGCCGGGGGACTGGCTGGCCCTGGGACGCGCAGTCGGCTGGCTGACTCCTTGGAGCAGGCAGGTGTGAGCAGGGCCTGGGCCGGGGCTGCCTCCCACTGCGGCATCTGCGCTCCAGGGGATCCAGGCGGCTCCAGGGGATCCAGGCGGCCCCAGGGGACACGGCGACAGGCCCTGTGTGCAGTGGCTGCGGAGGCCCCAGGGGTCAGCAGGCTGTCCCGTGACCCCGCCCCCGCCTCCTGCATCTCCAGTCCCCGGACCACCCGGCCTGGCTGCAGGGACCCCAGGGATGCCTGCTGGGCGCTGAGTGGGTGCGGAGGGAGACCTCACAGCACCGAGGGTGCCCAGGGACGGGGCTCCGGAGGCTAACAGGCCCCTCCCCGTGGCACCTCCAACCCAGGCCAGTAGGTCCTGTCATGCACATGGGCAGGGGCTGGGTGTCTCCCCCTGCCCCGCACCCCATGTCCAGGCCCAGCTTCACCCTGACCCCTGCCCGGCCGGGGGAGCCCAGTGGGGTACAGGAAGCCCCGGAGGGAGGCTCAGCCCGGCTCTCCTGGCCGCTGGCCCCAGCTGGAGCCCGTGGCCCCTGCATCAGGTGGTAACGCCCCCGCCACCCTGGGCTCCAGGGCTCTCACCTCCCGCCACGGGCCACGTCCGGTCACTGAGCCTTCTCGACGACCCAGTGTGGGGGGCGCCTGTTGCCCATGGACAGGGTAGACCTGCCTGGGGACATGGGGGCACAGTGGGCTGTCGAGCAGGGACCTCGCGCCCGTCCCCCCTGCTCCATCAGTTTCCTCTAACCTGAGGAGCAGCCCGTGGAGCCCTGACCAGGAGGACCGGAGCCCCAGGCCGGCCAGCGGGCACAGCACAGGTATGGGTGTGGGGGAGACGGGCCGACAGGGCCACGACCTGCACCCCGTGCTGGGACTGAGCGGGGCCCACGATACCCAGGGACCACGCACAGTGGTCAGGGCCGCGGGGGGCACAGGGCGTGCCGGGGGAGCCTGGGCCCTGGGAGGGAGGGGCACAAGCATCGCCCCGCTGCCCACCCAGCTTCGGGGGGGCAGCCTGGTTTCCCTGGAGGGCTGCCTCTCCCGGCTGCCCCGCCCTGCCAGGCAAACAGAGCCGGTGCCTCCCCCTCCCCGGAGGCAGCCTCACCCTGCCCCTGCAGGCCGGATTTCCTGAGCAAGGTCACTCTGGGAGCCATTGGAGCCCGGCAGCCAATAAAAGGCATCGATGCGGACAGAGAGCCCATAAAGCGGGTCACTCCACCGCAGCGTGTTTGCTCTGTGCCACCCCACCCCCACCCAGGCCTGGGGACACGGCCTGCAAGCCGCGTGGTGCCCGCAGCCGTCCCCCGCCTGTGCTGCCCAAGGGAGGCCAGTGGCTTGTCCAGGCTGTGCCCCAGGCCCCCGAGCCCGCTCACAGCTCCCGTCCCCCCCCCCGACAGGCGTTTGGGGGTGTCCGGGTCCTCCTGTCTCCTGCTCAGGGCCCCACCCGCACCCAAGGTGTCAGGGCCCGTCCACACTGGCCAAGCCCAATTCCCAGCGAGTGGCCAGACCCGGGATCCACAGAGACCCCCCATCAGGCCCCAGAAACACACACGAGACGCTCACCCCCGTGCTCGCCCACAGCCCACGGCAGCTGGCGCTCAGGGCGCTGCTGGCGCCTGTAGCACACGCGTGGGTGCACACGCTCGCACACACACGCGCCCGGCGCTCTTGGCCGGCACGGCCCTGGGGAGGAGCTCACGGTGTCAAATCAATTGGGAGAAATTGATTTGGGCGGAGATTTCCGAGCCATCTGCTCACTCCCCAAAGTCGCTCTGAGTGGATGCAGTTTGCATCCCAATCTCGGGGGAGGTGTACCCGGTAGCAGGTGAAGGAGCCTCAGTTTCCCCCCCGGGCACTCTCCCTCGCTGGGAGGGGGGCAGGAGGGCTCGATCACCAGCTCCAGCTGCCCCACCCCGGGAACTGAGCCAGGGGCAGTAGGGACAGCCCGTCCCCACGCCAGAGCCAGGGGCCCCAGCAAGCCTCCCCCCACCCCCCGCCCACAACCCTGGAAGGACCAGACTCCTCCCTGCAGCCTTCGAGGCCACACGTGACGCCAACTCCCAGAAAGCCCACCAGGCGGCCCACACCGGCCCCCCAGGCAATGCCTGGCTGCCCCTCAGACCCCCGCTGTCGCCTACGTGCCCTGGTTCCCAGGGCGGGCGGCTTGGCCATCCCAGCCCAGCCTCACCTGACCCACCAGCTCTGATTTGCAGCAGCTTCGATCGGCTCCAGGGACAATATTTGCTTTGGGAAAGAGTCAAACATTTATCCTCTAATTTATTCAGGAGATCGGGTTGTCAAACACAAGCGCCCTTGTTACGCCATCGTGTTTTCAGGCCTTGGCCTCTGTCCAGGGCCGTGCGAGGCCTGGGTCATGCTGACCGTGGAGGCCCCTGGCGCCCCCCGCCCCCTCTGGCCTCCTGCGGGCCGGAGGTCCTGCTCTGGGCAGACGCGGGGGCGTGAGCTGGGGCAACAGCAGGCACGCTGTCCAGACCAGCAGCGGGGTGGGTGCACGTGGGCCAAGCGAGCCCCCACATCTGGGTCCTCCTCCTTCCAGACCTGGAGAGAGCCCCAAGGCACAGGGGACCCCAGCAGGTGGGGCGGTGGGAGGCGCTGGCGCTCCCGGGGCGGGAGGCTGGGCCTGGCATTCGCTGGCATTGAGTGCCCCGGACGGCGCTGCCTTCCTAGGGCTGCTATTGCGTTGGGAGCCGCTCCCTCTGCTCTGTCTCCCGCCCTTGCCAGGCCAGAGCCCCCGGCGGAAGCAGAAGAGGGGGCTGTAGGGGCCTGGCCCTCCCCAGGGCGGCCTCTCCGAGGCCCTAGGACCCCCTGCCAGGGCCCCCTGGACACCTGTGTCCCCCGGACCCCAAGGCCTGGGGAGCCGACTCTCCACCCCTGATTCAGCCACTTTGCCGGCGGCCCCCCCAACCCACGCCCACCAGGGAGCCCTCGGCGTCCGGCCCACCCCTCGTTGCCCCCTCAGCCCTGACTGTGGCAGCGGTGGGGGTGGGCAGCGGGTGGCTGGGGTCTCCATGGTAACGGAGTTCTGCAGCCCCAGACGTCCGCCCTGGGATCCCCGCCCGCCCACAGCCTTGCCCCTTCACACCGGCCAGCTCCCGCCATCGGCTCCAGGTCCTGGGAGCACAGGGGGCAAGGCCGGAGCCCCGTGCGGTCAGCTATTGTCACGGACTCACACTGGACTGGGCCACGCAGGGCGGATGTGAGGAGGCACTGGGACCGGAGGGCAGAGTCAGGGCAGGCGGCACCAGCTCACACCAGCGGTCACTCCCCGGCCTGGCCAGCTGGCACAGGCTGGGGGCAGGGTAGCAGGACGCCAACGCCCTGAGCCCCGCCCGGGACACCCGTCCTCTCCCGCCCACTCCCTCCATCCCCGAAGCCAGCCTCCGCGGCGAGAACAGGCAGGTGGCAGAGACAGCCTGTCACTGCAGGGCCACCCACGGCCTCGGCCCAGACAACTGGTCCTCACACCCCACGGAGCAGCCAGGACGCGGCAGGGGGGCACCTCGGCGGGCGATCCGGACCGAGCCGGGCAGGGGCCACCCGGGGCCAGGCGCCCACGGCCCTCACAGCCGGCTGGTCTGCATGAGCCCGTTGGCCTCGGAGCCGCGTGCGGGCAGCATGGCTTCCTGCAGCCGGCTGCTCTTGTCGGGCTGTGGCTCTGTGGCCTCTGCGTCCTCGGCGCCGTAGCCCTTGCGGAGGCACAGAACCTTCCGGAAGCTCTGACGGAAGTTGTCGGAGAGGAAGCCATAGAGCACAGGGTTGGCGCAGCTGTTGGCGTAGGACAGGATGACCACGAAGAAGTAGGCGCTGGCAGAGGCGGGCTCCTCGGGCAGGACGAAGGCCAGGTTGACGATGTTGACGATGAAGAAGGGCAGCCAGCAGCCCACAAACACCACCACCACCACCACCACCATGCGGGTCACCTTGCGCTCCGAGCGCCGCCGCGTGGCACCCACGCGCACGCCAGACGCCTTCACCTTGACCACGATGAGCAGGTAACAGAGGCAGATGACTAGCAGTGGCCCAAAGAAGCCCAGCACGGACGTGTAGATGATGAACACGGCGCCCCACAGGCCCACGGGCTCGGGCCAGCTGAGGTTGCAGGTGTTCCAGCCCTCCTGGATGTCTGCAAAGACCACCAGCGGCAGGGACATGAGCAGCGAGAAGGCCCAGACGGCAGCGCTGGCCAGCTTGGCCACCCTGGGGCGGCGCCAGCGGGTGGAGCGGATGGGGTGGACCACGGCCAGGTAGCGGTCCACGCTCATGACCGTCAGGCAGAAGATGCTGGTGAACTGGTTGATGCCGTCCAGCGTCATGACCAGGCGGCACAGGACGGGGCCGAAGGGCCAGTAGGAGACGGCGTTCTGTGTGGCCAGGAAGGGCAGCCCCAGCATGAGCAGCACATCGGCCACGGCCAGGTTGAGGATGTAGATGTTGGTGACCGTCTTCATCTTGGCATGCCGCAGCACCACGTAGATGACCAGCGCGTTGCCGCCCAGCCCCGCCGCACACACCAGCAGGTACAGCACGGGCACCACCACTGCTCGGGCCCCTGGCGAGGGCGCCAGCCCCTCCTGCGTCCTGTTGTCACCGCCGCCGCCAGGGGCCGCCAAGGAGGCGTTCCAGCCGGCCAGCGTGGGCGCCGGGAACAGGGGCTCCATCGCGGCCGCTGCGGGCCGGGCAGGGCGGGCACAGGTGCGGCTCGTCCTCTCTGCAGAGAAAAGGGAGGACGGGAGCAGTTAACGGGCCAGGGTGCTTCCTCCCCGCGGCCCCGCCCGCCCCAGGAAGGCACGGGATCGCCCCACAGCGGATAAACACGATTACTCATGTCCAGCTTGGCCGGGAGTCACATTAAGCAAATTGTTTGGAAAACAAGCGCAGAGAGGAAGGAGCAGAGAGACAGCGCCGTATCCTCCGTGGGTCCCCCGATGGTGTCCCTATGGCCCCGGCTGCTCCAGCACGGCCCCCGCCCAGCCTCCACCTGCCTTGGCCACCAGGGTCTCCTCTGAGGGCCTCGGGGTGTCATCGCCAGGGCGGGTGGGGAAGGAGGGGGTGGTGATAGGAAGTCAGGACAGCGGCCCACCCGCCAAGCCCCCCTCACCTCCCCGGACGCGCAGGTACACCTGCCGAGCCTCACTGTCCCGGGGGCCTCCTGGAACCCGGGTAGCGTGCCAGGCCTTCCGCACGGCTGAGGAGCCACACTCAGGCTGCCCGGGCCCTGCCAGTGTCCACCAGGCTCTCAGGAGCACCGTCCCCGGAGAGCCCCGCAGAGCCCACAGATGCCCGGGGGACTTGCTTCCCGGCTCCCAGAGCAGCCGCTACAGGACCTGGATGTGGGAAACAGCTCGGGGTCCAGCCACCACACCCGCAAGGGCCCGCTCCGGCGAGCACAGGGGGGCCACCCGTCACCTCTGCAGCCCAGGCAGATGGCGGTCCTCCACGCAAGCCGTAAGCCAGCATCGGACACACAGGACACACAGAAAGACGCCTGGGCTGCCGGCCAGGAGGAAACGCGCGTGGGGGCGGGAGGCTGGCTACCGGGGAGGGGCGTGTGCGGGTTTTCGTGGAGAAAGAGCAGAGAACATTAACCTCCTCAGGTCAAGGTCATGGGCACATGTGTCCCCTTACGCAGCATCAGTACTTCTCCGCATGTCTGAGAAGGTTCATGCAAGTGATGATGCTCAGGAGAAGACAAGCATCTCGGAAGCCGAGAGGGAGAGGACGGGGCTGGAGCCTCGGTGGGCATGTGGCACAGGGGACCCCTGAGCTCCGCCTGGCTGGCCCCCGGGCACGTCGGAGCGGAGCGCACCCCCAGTGGCTACCGGTCAGGACCCAGGAGATGAGCGGGGGCGGGGGGGGGGAGGCGACCCAGAATAAGGGATGGTGAGAAGGTCAGAGCCCTCGGCTCCCCTGGGCAGACGCTCTCCGACCGCTCAGGCCACTCAGTGATGGGACACTAGGAGATGCGACCCAGGGCACCAGCGATGGGGAGGTGGGTCAGTGGCTACAGCTCATTCCTACTTGTAATAGGAATCGACAAGTATGTTTAAGATCTATTTAAATAAATATGTTTAAAAATAAATAAATATGTTTAGGATCCTCAATAAGGCATGGATAAAAATATTATGATATAAATTTGGCTGCCTAAGGAGTAAAATGAACAAGCGTGTATTTTTGAAAGTTACAACTCTTGGGTGTGAAAAATTCTTTAGACTTAAAATAAATCCAAAAAAATCAGAATCAACTTGGGTCTGGATACAGCTGAAGAGAGAATCGGGGAATGGGAGCGGGGCTGAGGCGCCCCCGGAGCGCGGCACGCTGAGGACAGGGCACAGGCATGGGGGATGCTGGGCTGGCAGCCGCCGAGCAGCTCTGGGGGCGAGTCCACGTGACCGCGTCAGGGTCCCCGTTGAGAACATCTAGGGTGAGGAGAAAACCCTCCAGGATGGCAGCAGGGGACAAGACGGAAACCCAGGCTGACCCTGGACCAGGATGTCAGAAGCCCGTTTGTCTGGACGCCAGGCAGTGGGGACAAAGGCCGGCAGGCTGGGGCCGCAGGTGGGGGGATGAGGGAGACATACCCCGCAGTGCGGGGCATTTGCCCAGAGCCCCCGTGTTACCTGGTGACCCGAGGCCAGGTGAGTGCTGGGGATCCAGCAGGGCACGGCATGACCTCTGGGGACCACGGCATTTGCAGACAAACCAAGGGTTGGAATCCTCGTGGGCTGGGGTCCACTGGCCAGTGGGGGGGCCTTCTGGGGCCGCAGGCTCACTCCACAGGCGGGGATCCGCGTGCTCGGCTCTGTGCCCAGGCCCCTGCTCACGCGTGCAGGGAAAGTACGCACGAAGGGGCTCTCAGCTCCCTCTGCTGGGACCCCAGGGTGCTGGGTGGGGAAGAGGCAGCAGCAGCAGCCCCCCGAGGCAGGAGTGCACCAGGGAGGACGGGCCGTCAGCTCAGACGCATCCCCTGGGTCCCCGACATGGGCAGCTGAAAGGGAGTTTGACCCTAAGAAGGCTGCTCCGGGCTCCTGAGTCCAGATCCCAGGCACCCTGCAACCTCCCAAACACCCCAATTCCTCCGACTGCACAGCAGTAAAGAAAATTAGGCCGCTCTGGTTCTGCCTGCCTCCGGGAACATAATTCTACAGGAGCCATTATTCAGAAGCGGCAATCTTCTTAGTCACAGAAATTACACTCGTGGAAAATTGTCCCTGGGGCCCTTTCTCCCGCAGTGGGGGGTTTAGCGGGTGGTGGTGGGGCTGTGGAACGGGCCGCTGGCCACCCAGAGCTCCCCACCGGGCAGGGCCGCCCGCCCACTGACGCCGCGCAGGGAGCGACCACCGCCCGCCCCAGCCCTGGGCCCTCGTCTGAGCCCCCGCAAATGCTAAGTCGATGATCACGCGAAATAAGCTCAGGTACACGCCGAGGCACACGGGGCCTGCCAGACGTTGGCCCCAAACAGCCAGATCTCCTCCCTGGTGTCAGAAAGGGTGCCTGCCCTGGGCCCCAAGGGGGAGGGGGCCAGAGGCTTCCCAGGGGCTTGGGGTCAGGGAGGGCCTCAGTGCCCCGTGCTGCCCAGCCTCTCCCAGATTGGCCCCTCTGGAGGGCCTGCGTCCTCCATGGGGCAGCGGTGGCTCCGAGTGGCTCGGTGCTCCCCAGGTCCACACCTCACCTGGGACTCCCTTCCACCTGTATAGGTCAGGGGCAAATGCCTGCGGTCAGACCCCAGGGCTCCAACGCCCTCAGATCCAGGCCTGCCTCCCCCTCCCCCAGGAGAGTGCCTGGCTCCCCAGCCACTGGCGACCTCTCACCCTTCCCCCAAACATGCCCCAGGGCCCTACTGCTATGGTCAGGGAGGTGTCCCTCCTCCACCAGGGGAGGGGGTGCAGGTGGCCCACAGGAGGCTGGGACAGGAGCCTCCTCCTCAGGGTCCCGGCAGGGGCTCCACGCCCTGCAAGACGTTTCCAAGGCCGTGTCCGCCACCAGCAGAACTTTCTGGGAAATCTGGGTCATTTTACCAGGAACCCACCCGCGGGAGGTCACTGTCATTGATGCTATCAACCGCCTTCCCCTTGAGGCTCCCCAGTCCTCCCTCCAAGGGGCGACCGCCCCCAGGAACCTGTTCTCTTCAGAAGAGGGTCAGCAGCAGCCAGAACTGCCTCAAACTTTGGCATGCTGGGGTTCCCGGTGCCCTCGGTCAGGACCCCAGGTTAGCCTGCAGGCCTGGGACACCGTGCGGGGCAGGTGGGAGGCTGAGGGAGCCACCGGCGCAGCAGGTGAACTCTGTGGCTGGCCTCCCTTCTGGGGAGCGACCTCGGGGGCTCCCCACGGCGGCTGGCAGGCCTGCAGATTGGGGGCTCCGTTCCTA